CTTCGGCCGCGCGACCGATGGCAGCCGTCTCGGCAGGGACATGGTCCTGGTGAGGAGCTGCCCCCCTGAGGAGTGGATGTGAACGCGGAGGGCCAGGTGGGGCCGCCATGATGCGTCGTGCACTGCGGTGACCTCGGAGACGTGGGCCTGGGCTGCTGCGCTGACGACCGGGTAGTCCAGGTGGGTGCCCTGCTTGCCGCCTCCAGGGTCGCAGGTGTGCTCCGTCGGCGCAGCGGATGTGGCCCCCGACCTGAGTGAGGAAGTCCGAGGCCTGGAGGGCGGCTGGCGGGACGTTCCAGTCCCCGATCACCACCCAGAGTAGTTGCAGCGCCCGCAGCAGGCCACCCAGACGCCGCAGGCGGGCAAGGTGGGCACCTGCCAGCCCCGCACTGGAGATGCCGTAGTACACGATAACCACGAGCGGGTAGCCGCGAAAGTGGAGGACAGCGGGGACGAAGCCGTCCAGGCTCCTGCTGGAGGTCGCGTGGCACGCTGGCGCCAGAAACCCTTCGTGCAGGATGTGCGCCCGTAGATGTTCGCGGGCTAGTATCCATTCCCCTCCTTCGTCGGCGTGTCCTGCGGCCCGTGATTCGTCAGAATCTGGCCTCCCGTCAAGGACTGGCCCGCGCGAGGGGGGTCGAGCAGATTTGCGAAACATGCGGAGGTTGGCTTGCCGAGCCTTGCTCATCCAGCGCCCCTGATCGGCCGCGCTGATGTGGGCCTCGGCAATCCCGAAGTAGCTATCGGACGTGCTCGACACAATGTGATCCCATGCTTTGTCTCCCATGCGCGTCACATTGTCGTAGAGGAAAATGCTTGTACTGGTATTGTCGGCATCCTCGATGCCGTCGGTCTCGGTCCCTAGTCACGAACCGTCGCTGCCGCGCCCTGGAGCACCGCCCTCGGTGGGGGTCGAAGGGCGCCCCTGCGGTGCCGCCCCGCCCGCGCCCTTGCCGCTGCCCGCGCCCTTCTTGCTCTCCTTGGGCTCGGCGCTGGCGGCCGCGGCAGCGTGGGCTGCAAAGCTGGCAGCCGACAGGCGCTCGGCTTCTGCCTGCAGGGCCGCGTCGGTGGCGGCGGCGGCGGCGGCCTCGGAGGCGGCGGCCTCCCCTGCAGCCGTGTCTGGCCCCTCGGCAGCGGCCTGTGGGGGCGCCTGCTGCTGCGCCGACGCCGCGGTGCCGTCCGTGCCTTTGCGCCTCTTGAGCAGCCGTTGCTCCTGCTGCTGGCGGACCGCCTTGGCGCGGTTGATCAGTGCCCGGATCTGTGGCTCCTTCGTGTCAAAGTGCTTGCGAAGGTCTTCCAGGCCGGCCTTCGCCGCCTCCAGCTCAGAACGTTCGCTGTCCTCGAAGTCGAGGTCTGCGATGTCGGCGATGAGCTGGGCGTCCCATGTCATCGAGAAGACGGGCCCCCTCCTGGAGCCCTCCTGCTGGGATCCTTCCTCCGCGGCGGAGATCTCCTCGGCCTGGGCGAGGGCCGCCGTGGCTTTCTTCTTCAGGGCCTCGGTGCGGGCGACCTCCATGGCGGCGGTGCGCTCCTTGGTCTCCGCTGCGGCGAGGCCCTCCCTCAACTTCACCACGTTGGCGACCAGCTGCTTGTGGTGGTTGACGGCCGCCCGATAGTTGCCGTCGGCTCGCTTCATGGCTTCCACTGGCGTGGGCGGCGGCCCCTTCTGCGCCGCCGCCTCGATTGTGATCCTGGTGATCTGCGCCTGGAGGACGGCCTTCAGCTGCGGGTCCCTGGTCTCCTCCGTAGCGCGCTGGAGGTGCTCGATGGCCGTGGGGCCGCCTGCGCCGCGGGCGCCGCTGCGGCGGCGGCTGCTGGCCGTTTCCGCGGGGTCTTCCAGCTCCACGATCTCTGCCGCGCCGAAGGTCACGCTGCGCCCGCCTGGCGACTGGGGGCGTGGGCGGTGGAGCCGAATGCGACGTGTACACTTCGGGCACGTCGGATGGGCGGCATCTAGTCTGTCGTTGTACTCGGAAGCGCCGCAGCCGCGGCAGCGGGTCCAAGGTCTCTGCATCAACCCCCGTGCTTTTGCTAACGCCAAAGTCTACGAAGTGTGCGCAGCCGCGGCGATGCCCCTCAAGTATCGCGCGGAGGCGCAGGGGAGCGCCAAACTGGCTCGAGCCCAGATGTTACTTGCTTTCCGAGTTTGCCACGTCGTGCTGCCATTGCCACGGCCCGTTCCCTGCTTTCCGAGTTTGCCCCTCTCTTGTGCGAGTTCTCGATCGCGGGGCGCGCCGACCGGCCGGGGACCTTCCTGGGCCTCTCGGCGTCTCTTTCGGACGACTGGCACGCCCGAGGGCGAAGATGGTGGCAGCGTGATAATATCCTGCAGCTCCTCAAGTCTGGCCGCGACGCCACCGCTCGCTTCCATGACGCACCAGTCCTTGCCACGTTCAGCTACGTTGCGCAGTTATTTCTCATTAAGCAGTTCATCGCTCACCGCGGGCTCTACATGTTCCGCGACATACTGCCCATGCCTCTCAACTTGTTTTGCAATGTGATCGCGGTGGCCGACTGGGCTCCAGCCCCCGCCCCAGCTTCGATGCAGGTCGCCACTGTCGCTGCCGCTAAGCGCTCCGCCCCTGTCACGCTACGCGGCGACTGGGGGGATTTCTTTGCCCGCCTGTGCGACGCTGTTTGGAATGGACGCACTGTCCGCAACTTCCTCCGCTGGAACACCGTAAAACGGGTCGCCGCCGTTCTGGGCTCAGCCCATTTCTTTTGTGCAGTATTGCTCCAGCCTCTGCTCTTCCCAGAGCTGCAGCACCCCCCCGCCGTGTGACCCGTGGCGCCCGCGACGCGGGCCGCGCCGAAATCACGGCGGCTTCGGCCGCTTATCCGCGGCGCCGTGCCCGCGTCCAACGCGCGATCGCTAGCGCGCTTCGCGAAGCATGCTATTCGGCGCCCACCATGGGCACGCTCGCAAAGCGCCATGAGTCCTGGGGCCTGCAGTTGCCGCCTCCCGAGGAGGTCTCCGCGCGGTGGGAATCGTTGTCCAGGGCCTTCAGGGGTTCCGCCCGAGTTGGCGCTGGGCCGTCTTGCAGACCCTGAGTGGGGGGATGGGCCACGCGTGCTGGCTCCGAGGACGTGCGTCTTCGGCTGCCCCCAGGACCTGGGTGCGTTTCCCCACTACCTCTCCTGCCCCCACCTCTTGAGCCTCCTCTGGTCCCCCGACCCGCCTCTCCTCCGCTCGATTCTCACGGCTTGGGGCCCTGGCGCCGAGGCAGCCGGCGCCGCTGACCGCGACAGCGCTACGTCGCTGCATCAAAGGTGCCAGCGCATTGCGTTGGCGTTCCGCACGTTTAACAACATGAAGCTACATTCGGCGCCTGCACCCGAGGGCTCAGCCTTGGCGAGTGCAGCCGCCCGCGCCCTCGTTTGGCGCCAATGAAGACTCGTGTCCCCCAGGGTGCCCGAACTCCTCCTCCTTCTCCGCCTCCCCCGCTTTGTTTCATTGGTGGTCTGGCCAGGGGTCTCCCTGCTCGAGCCCTCCGACGCCTCGATCCCTTCCCTTGGGCAGATGCTTCATCCTGACTCGTCCTCTGATGGCCCAGGGGGCCCTGAAATGGGTTCGTCGGCGGCGAGCGATGTGGGGAATATGCTATGGAGACAGGCCTTGTCAGAAAGCGGAATAGTTCGGGCGCGTTCCGGAACGTTTTTTCTGTGCCTTCGGGGAAGGCTTACCCTGTTTAGAAAGCCGGAGGCCTTCCGAGCCTCCTGAGAAGGCCCGCCCCTGGGCTCGCCGCCAAGCTCGTATGGTGCGTGGTTCACGGAACGCGCAGGCACCGAACAAAGCATCAGGACGTCAGAGACACGACCTCCCGCGCCTCTTGGGGGAAGCCGGCTGTGCGCCTGCGCCGATCTGGGCAGGCCGAGCCTGAGCCCAGGGTCGGTGCACGTGCCTACCTTCGGGTGCGGCCAAGAGGGGGGTGACAACTCGTGGGGGTGGATCTCATGGCTGGGGCCACGATATCTCCCCAGATTTCATGGCCCCCCCCCTGGGCCGCGCACGTGCCGCCGTCATGGAGCTTCTTCTTATTTCAAGACGTCTCCAGCCCCCCCTGGGCCGCGCACATGCCGCCGGCAATGTTTTGCGCCCCCCACTGGGCGCCCCCCTTTTGGACGCCCCCGACACATGCCTTCCTGGCCAAGCCAGTGGGGCGTATGCACCGATCCAGGGCAGTGTTCATTTCGACCCCTCCGATTCCTTTGGGTTCGATGTCGACGGCTTCCGATTCCGATTCGATTCGACTTCGGATTCGGATTCGGATTCCGGTGTCTCAATGGAGGCTTTACCAGCTTGCCGAGTTCCGTCGATTCGACTCTTCCGGACTAGGTTGCCGATTTCCGCCGATCCGATTTGTTTCGATCGCCGATCCGACTTGCCGATTCGATTTTGGGATCCCCTGTCCAGGGCCAGGGATGGGCTCAACCCAGACAACATCACGAACATCCATGGCCTGAGCTCTCAGGCCCAATTTTCTGCGGCGTTTCGGCAGCTGGGTCGATCTGCAAGCCCCCCCCCCGGGGCCCGCATCCGAGCGAAGGTGCGGGGTGCAAGCAAGCTTGGGGCGCCAGGATCTCAGGGCAGGCCAGGTGCATGATAGTTGGCGTCCTCCCCGTATTCCCATTCGTTTTATATACGGGGTCTCCAGACCTCTGGGCCACCTCCCGTCGACAGTTTTTTCGCCCTGGATTGTTTCTCGACTGCCCATGAGGCCCCGAAACAGCCCCCAGGGTCCGAAACGTAAAAACTAAGCATCCGTCCCGGTTCTGAATCGAAGCCAGCAGAGGTCTCGTTCTGGCACGGGCCCCTGAAGGCTTAACGACTCTTCTCCAATCGACTTGCGGGGATCAAGCCAAATGAATCGAAGGCACATCTGCGTAAACCGACGTAATCCAGGTCGAGGTAAATCCAGAACTCCAGAGACATCTGGAGAAACCGTGGACGTTCCAGCGCGAGTCGAGGGACAGCAGAAGTCTTTGATCCCTTAACGAAGGGGCGCCGCGGCGGCGCCAGCGCCGCCTTCCTGCTCTTCGACTTCCCCGGCTACGGCGGCAACCAGAGGGGCTCGATGTATACACCACATCGGCTGGTCGGCCAAGGAGCCAAGGAATTCGACGAAGGAGTTCGGTGTATAGACGCTTCAGCGTTGTACAGCTTGGGAAGCTGGGGCATCTAATTCCAGGTCTCAAAAGCATGGTGAACAGATGGGGTCGGAGGGTCGTGACGCATCGCCGATGCATCGGCGATGCTGCTCGATATGGAGTGAGATCTTGTCCACGCCGATGAAGCCGATGAGTCGCCGACGGCGCTGATGCATCGGCGATGCGGCGCGATCCTCCGACCCCATCTACGTGGACCCCATGAAGTCACAACGTGGCCCCCCAGAGGTCTGGACCCTTTCGCTGGGGCGGGGCTTCTCGTACCGAGTCGTTCCTTTGACGGTCCCGAGGCCCGGTGAGGCCTGCCGGAGGCCGAAAACAGTCGAAAACCGCCGGTCGTGTTTTTTCACGACGGGAGGACGTGGTGGTCTGCACAGAAATCGGGAGATCTTGGCACGACCCTTCGGATTTTCTTACAAGACCACGAGACGTTCTGTCACGTCGCTTCCTCCTGCGGGCGTGGGGTGTTCCCATGGGTCACTCCTCCTGTAACACCACTACCATTGTAACGCGCGTTACTGCGACCATCACAACAATGATTACCTACCGTAATCATATTACCAGCACCGTTCATTATATTACTACTGCCACCACCGCTACAGCTACTACCACTACTACCACTACGATTACTCTTATGACTACGGCGGTGACTCATACGGATACTGTCACCACTACTCCTGGTGCGACGACTACTCTTCTCCTTAACACTACCAAAATGGCTACTGCTATTACGACGAAGACTATTGCTATGTCGACGACCGCTGTCAAACACACTTGCCAGGACAACGCGAAATTAACGCTGTTGTCATCTGGAGCCGACGCAATTCCCCATTGAAAGTCACACAGTCTCGAATGACAATCCATAACAGTATACGCCCTCGAATGAAAGCTACAAAGTTCTTCCGTTCGGACCGTAAAACTAGCAACTCGCACACACATTAACAAGTTTTCTGTGGACCTTTTTCATGTCATGGGCGGAACGCATGCAAATCGCATGTGGTCGCTCGTCAATTCCTACACGCAGATTTGAAGTCCGTGCTGGAGCATTGCAACTTTCACACGCTGGCAAACCAGTTGTTATTTGAACGAGATCTAACTCCCATAGGACTGCGATTCTTTCAAAAGTAGCACCTGTACACTTGTCATTCGAAGCCTACGCCGTTCCCGTGTGCAGCGCATCAAGCTGTTATGTGAGACGTCTGCAGATCTCGTGTGGCCCCAGTTCATGCCTCACGCGGGCGCGATACAGCTTCCCAAGAGATGACCATGCAGATACAGCGAGGACGCTACACAACTACCACATAACCATCGTCCTCAAATGAAGCCTGTTTCGGCATTTTATGAACAGCTGTCATACGTTTTTGCTAACGATTGGTTTCCATGTTGTACAATAGAAGTTGTGGGTGGGGTCCTAGTAGTTCCCGAATGACAGTTGAGCAGCTTTCAGAGCAGAGCAGCCCGAGTCCGTTCTCATGTGATAGGTTTACAATTCATGTTTGGAAACTATTCAGTTCCCAGGTGAAAGTGTTTTCGCTTCGCGTATCCCCACCATCTCCCCGCTGTCCTCCCTCTTGTTTTCTTTCCCTCTCCCGAGGCGCGTAGTTTAGGCCGCCGCTTTGCTTGTTGCGCCCTTGGACGTCGTCCGACTGCTCTCGGCGCGGTCGCGATCAAAAAAAAACGTATCCCCACCAGCCCATCCAGAAACGATGTCTAGGGGAGTTGAGGTGATCAGGGAAGTGGAGGACCATGCAGAAGAACAAAGGACGGGGGAAGGCGTCCGAAACCCCAAGAGGGTGAGGGTGGTGGAGGACAAGGAGGAGGAGGAGAAGGAGGAGGAGGGCGAAGATGAGGAAGGAGGAAGAGACAGTGGACGAGGAGGAGGAGGAGGAGGAGGAGGAGGAGGAGGAGGAGGAGGAGGAGGAGGAAAAGGGGCATCCTGGCGAGCCCAGGGCCGTCTTTGAGCGTCTTGGGTGCCTCTGGGATCCTCTTGAAGCCTCTTGGGGGCCTCTGGGGAGCCTCTTGGAGGCTTCCTGGGCGCCCCTTGGGGCCGCCTGGGCGCCTCTTCTGGCCATTTTGGGGCGCTCTTGGGAGCCTTAGGAGCGCTCTTGGGGCCATCTTGGAGGAGATCGATCAAGGGAAAGGGGCTCCTCAATGTCCGTCCCCACTCGGGAGCTCCAACAATCGCCTCTTGGGGCGCTCTCGGGGCGCTGTTGGAGCGCTCTTGGGCGCTCTTGGGCCGTCTTGGGGCTCTCTTTGGCCTCTCCTGGGGCCCTCTTGGGCCATCTTGGAGCCATCTTGATGCCTCGGATGGCCATCAGAGGCGAAAAGGCGAGAAATCAAAATTTTGATTTGCCTTGGGGTTTGGAAAGAATGTTGGCCTCTGCGGGGCCGCCTTGGGGAGCTCTTTGGCCATTTGGAGCCGTCTTGGAGCGGTCTTGGGGCCTCTTGCAGAATCTTGGGAGCCATCTTGAGGCATCTTGGGGTATCTTGAGCCATCTTGGAGCTCATCTCGGCTCCCCGAGGCGCTCTTGGAGCCATCTTGGGCCATCTTGGACGCTCCAACCACTCGGGCGGGACCCTCTCCAGGTCCAGGGGAGGGGGTAGGGGGAGGGGTCAAGCTACCCACTCGCCCGCAAGCCGTCTTGCTCACTCCCACCCACCCTCCCAACACATCAGTAACACCCGGATGTCAGCATATCGCGTAAGAACGCCGCAGACGCCATGGGTTCGGAAGCCTCTTGGGCCTGGCTTTGAGCTTTCTTTGCCAATTTTGGAGCCATTGGGAGTTTTCGAAAGCCCATCGGAAACGATAAGACGAAATGGCAGCAGCCGCTGATGTGTCAAACCGGTCGGCCGACCACTTGCGCCCAGAAGGCAGGTGGGATTTGCTGGCGCCCCAGCCGTCCTTGTAAGATACCAGTGCGAAATGATCGCAGGGCGGCCGCGCATGCTCCACATGTGGAGGAATAGTGCGATTTGTATTGTTTTGGATAGGGATGGTGGGGGTGATGGCCCTCATGGGGTTATCATGGTTCTGGGTTGGCTGCCGGCCGGGTGGGGGAGGGGGTGTATATTCATAGGGGACCATTATAAACCTCTTCCCGAAGGGGAAGAGGGGCAGATGGAGGACAAAACACCCTAGACCACCTATGCCCTAAAGGGCTGGTGGGCTTAGCCAGACGAATGGCCCAACTGTATGCAGTTGCGAGTGCCGTCCTTGTGAATCTCGCCTTCAGTGGATCTGCTCACGGGGCCTTGGGTGGGGCTGACTCTTTGGCAACGAAGCGTGGGTAACATGTTAGGGGATGGGTGGGGAGGAACACATGCGAACGTGGCACTGGGACATTGGGTGGAGCTCCCTGTGGGGCCATGAACCGTGTGAGGGTTGTGCCGAAATTGGTTGAGGACCGCATGCGCACGTCGCCACTGGAGCCTTCGGTGGAGCCCCCCACAGGGGCACTAAACGTTTAACGGGTGTGCCGTGTAATGGGTGGCGGGGACGCGTGCGGAGGGTGCTGCTGAAGCCTTCGGTAAAGCTCCTTGTGGGGCCACGAAATGTGCCAGCGGTGTGCCGAAATCGGTGTCTGGGACGCATGCGGACGGCACCACGTGGGGCCTATGGGGCCACGACGCGTGCACGGGGTGCGCCGAAATGGGTGGCGGGGACGTATGCGAACAGCGCCATTGGCGCTTTGAGTGGAGCTCCATGTGGGGCCACGAAACGTGCGAAGGGTGTGCCGAAATGAGTGGCGGGGACGCATGCGGACGGCACCATTTGGGCCTTGGGTGGGGCCCCCTTGTGGGGCCACGAAACGTGTGAGGGGTGTGCAGGAATGAGTGGCGGGGACGATGCGGACAGGCACCATTTGGGCCTTGGGTGGGGCTGCCTGTGGGGCCACGAAACGTATGCGGGGCGTGCCGGAAATGAGTAGCGGGGACGCATGCGGACGGCACCATTTGAGCCGTCGGTGACGCTCCTGGTGCGGTTGTGAAGCGTGCGAGGGGTGTGCCGAAATGAGTGGCGGGGACGCATGCGGGCGACGAGCTCCATATGTTGCCACGAAGCGTGTGAGGGTGTGCCGAAATGTGTGGCGGGGGCGCACGCTGGCGACACCATTGGGTGTTTGGGTGGGGCTCCGGTTTGGGCCACGAAACGTGTGAGGGGTGTGCAGAAATGCAGAAATGAGTGGCGGGGGCGCATGCGGACGGCACCAATTGGGCCGTGGGTGGACGGGGACGTGTGTAGACGACACCAGTTGGGCCTTGGGTGGGGCTCCATGTGGGGCCACGTAGCGTGTGAAGGATGTGCTGACATGGTTGACTTGCGCGGGGGGCAGGGGCAGGGATGAGGGAGGATGGGGAAGAGCAGGAGGAGGATGAGGAGGCGGAGGCGGAGGAGGAGGCGGAGGACGAGGACGAGGAGGAGCAGGAGGAGGAGTAGGAGGAGGACGGGACAGGACAGGACATCCGCATCAGGGGGCCAACGTCAACACCCCCAGACTGGTGCCTTGCGCGCGTCTGCAACAGCCCCTGCGATTTGGTTGTGCAACAGCCATGACTTTTCACTAGGGTCGGCAGGGGGCATACCTCGAAGCTTCAAGGGGTGAGCTCCGAGGTGGCCCCGTGAGAGAGGCTCGCTACCTTGTGAGTGCGAATCCCTGCGGGTCAGTGCGGGGGGAGCAGCTGCTGGCCCCTCCGCGTGCCTTGGGAAAGGGGACGCGATGGGCGAGCAGGGCTACCAAGCTAGGGGGGAAGATGCGACGACACGACCACTCGAAAGGAGACGGGGAGGAACATCAGGAGGCCCCTGCTTTCCAAACTTCTGCTGGGGGGGGCCTAATTATCCTACTCAATCCTGTTCTCTTTTCTCTCTCTCTGTCTCTCTCTCTCTCTGTGCTCACTTCTCTTCCAGAATGAACTGGGCGATAGTTGTGTCATGCATTGTCGTAACTGTACCCTGATACCCTGTTGAAGTATCCCACTGTTCCCCCTCGATGGGTAGGCAGGGGAGAGCATACTGGTAGTCACGGTATGTTGGGGGTGGGGCCTTCGTGGGTGCGCTTTGGTGGCTTTCGTGTGTATCACCTTTTCTCCCATTCCCCCTGCAGTCGTGTACTTGTCGGCGCTCCAAAAGTACGTCCCAAGATGATGTCGGCGCGAGCTCTCTCTTTAGGATCCTCACGCCGAGACTACCCCGCTAGTGATGGTCCCACTGAGTCTGACCGCCTGCCTAGAGTCGCACTCCGAGATAGCCTCGCTAATGCACCCCTTGGCGTTGTCAGTGGGCCCCATCGGGGCCATCTCACTTGTGGCCGTGGGGGCTGGCCGCCTTCGCCGACTTGGCGTACTTTTCGAAGATCACGGTACCATCCAGTTGGGTCTTCGTGCTGTCCCGTAGTTCCTGTTTTTTTGAGCCTTTTGGGCAGGACGGGGAGGCGGAGGAGGAGGAGGAGGAGGAGGAGAAGGAGGAGGAGGAGGAGGATAATGAGGAGGAGAGGATATTCGGGGCGCTGTGTCTTCAAAACAAAGACCCAACACCACATGATGGTAGGGAAAACATCTACCATTAGATTCACAGGTTGCACCGGTCCCACGGCATATTACGCAAACCTCGAGTTCCCATATGCCACATAGCAGCTCGTTTGTGCAACTTGCGTGGGTGAAGCCAGTCGTTTTCCCTCCATCTGACATTTCAAAATCTCAGGCATATGCTATGAGTGCTCACTTGGAGTTGTACACGTTTCTGTTCAATTCTCACACGTCACTAATGAATATTATGATGTCGTCTTGTGGTGCCCTCGCAGATCTCACAAATACGTGGTTCGCTATGAGCATGACGTCTCCCAAGTCATTACATAGCTGTTGTGCGAAATCTGTCCACCTCTCTTACGGTAGCCTCAAAGCTCCAGCGCGACAGGTGTCAGCTGCTCATTCTCCAAACAACACAACTCCTATATGGAAGAAGACGAACTAGTACCAGCTCCAGTTCGGGCACTCATGTTGTCCGTCAGAATGAAGGACGCCTACATTTCAGAGCTGCACTCGTTTTTTTGATCTTCTTCACGTCCTCTAGGCACGGGTTGAAACGGCTGGTTGTAATTGGTCCACTTTTTTCTCGACAACTTGAGAAATGGCGCGGGTGGTTGGAATTGGTACCAGTCGATTGGGATTGGTCCGTCACGCGGTGTTCCTCCCCCCCCCCCTTATCTATACAGCGAGCTCCTTGGCCGACCACACGGCTTGGTGTATACCTCGAGCCCTTCACAGGCAACCCTGGGAGGACCTCGCCAGCCGCCACGTTGACCGCGTCGCTCTGCTCTCTGCGTGCGGCGCTGGCGCGCTTCGATGCCGGACCGCCAGAGGTTCGGGGGCGAGAAGACGGGGGCTCGAGGACCGAGATTGCAGGACCGAGATTTGAGGGTCGAGGCCCTCGAGGGTTCAGGCTTGAGGGCTCGAGGGTCGAGGACTTAGGCTCGAGGACTCGATGCTCGAAGGTCGAGGCTCCAGGACCGAGGCTCGAGTGTCGTGTGTCGAGGCTCGAGGGCGGAGGTTCGTGGACGGATGCTCGAGGGTCGAGGCTCCAGGCCTTCAGGTTCGAGGGTTCAGTCTGGTGGGTCGAGGATCGAGGGTCGAGGCTCGAGGGTCGAGGACCTAGGCTCGAGGACTCGAGGCTCGAGGACTCGAGGCTCCGGGACCGAGGCTCGTGGACAGAGGCTCGAGGGTCGAGGCTCGAGGCTTCAGCTTCGAGGCTCGAGGCTCGAGGGTCGAGGATGACGGTTCGAGGATGGAGGCTCGACGGTGGAGCTTCGAGGCTGGAGGCTTGAGGATGGATGTTCGAGGATCGAGGCTCTAGGGTCGAGGATCAGTGTCCGAGAACCGCGGCTCGAGGCCTGACTCTCGAGAATTTCTCGCTTCGAGGATCGGGGGTCGAGGTTCGAGGCTCGATGAGCGAGGCTGCCGGTCTCAGGCACGCCGCGTCTTCTCCGCCCTCGCGACGGGGGGCGCCCGCGGGGCGCCGGCCCTCTCGGGGCGAGGCCCGCAGACGTCTGACGACGTGATTTGTTTTCGGGCGACGAAATCTATACATATCCACTGCTCCCTGACCATGTCCATCTTGAACCCAGGAGCTGTGTATGCGCCCTCCTGGCCAAGCCAGGAGGGCGTGGCGTATACACCGCTGCGGGGTTGAGGATGGGCCTGGCCTGGGAGCAGTGGATATGTATAGATTTCGTCGCCCTATGTTTTTGACTCCCGATGCTTTTTCTTAGCACTTCGGCCTCTGGGGCCTGTTCTCGGGATCCAAGGTCATCAATCAAAATAGACCCGGGGCGAAACACTGTCCCCCAGGGGCGGGCTCGAGACCCCTGGGGCCCGTGGGCTCAAACATCACCCTTGTCGGGTGTCTCGATTCGGCGTTCGAGGATCCAAGGGCTTGGCGACTTGTCTTTCCTCTTGGGGCCTCTGGCGGGCTCCTCGTCACCGCGGCTGGATTCCTTTTCTACGCTCTGGCCAGAACGCACCCCTGGAGAGATCCGGGGTCCAGGGGTCGACCTGTCCGGGCCGTCCTTTTCGCCGACTTCGGCCTCCCGGGACAGACGTCGCCACCATCAGCGTGGCTCCCCTCTGCCCCTGCCATTTGGTAGGCTGCCCTGGGTGTTCCGTCATCCCGTGAGGTCAACCTGCTGGGGCACAGTCTCGGCGCCGCTGCGGCCGCGCAGCTGGCCGCGCACCTGGCCATCACGGGCGCGCCCGCTGGGAGGCCCCGAGGCGGACGCAACGGCGCCATCCCCCCGCCTGTGGACCGCAGAGCGCTGCCCCCCCCCACTCCCCGCCGACAGGAAAACGCACACCCGCGACGGTCTTGTTTGTGGATGCCGGTGGCCGCGGCGCAGGCGGGGCCTCTCCACGCCGACAGGTCGACCTGGCAGATTCCGAATGGCATTTGGGTCGTTCTCGTGTGGCCCCAGCCGTCCATACCGTTGTATAGTAAATCACGGAAGTCTACGCTCGTCTTGGATTGAGTGTAGATCGACGAATAGCGCCCGCTGGCGTCCTGTAGCGCCAAATCTCGCCCAACAGCTGCCAGTAGCGCCGAACGACGCTCAAACAGCGCCTAATAGCCACCAATAGCGCTCAAGAGCGCCACGTGAGGGAGGTGCATCATATTCGCTTCGAGCGCGCTACTGGGACCAGAAGCTTCCGTGCGCCGATTTCTAAGCATCGTCCGCACAGCTCCCATCGCGCCGCACCTCGTGCACCGCTGTGGCTCCCCGTCCGGCTTCCAGCTCGGTCTGCGGGAGGTCGGGGGGCCGGAGCGGGGCCGGAGCTCCATGCAGCAGCTCGCGCCCGTGCTGCCCATGGAAGAGCAGAGAGGAGCGGCACGGGCGTTTCGGAGTTCTCGGAGGCGGCGCTGGATGCCCTCCTTCAGAGAAGTGTGAAGATGACCGCAGCCAGGGTGCTGGAATCCTTCACCCGATGAAGGAGGCTCGACCTGAACCAACGCGCGATCTGGCGGGAGCCAGTGGTCTTTAAACGCCATCCCCGCGCCCCTTTCTTGGCGCGCGGAGTGCGCCAGGTGGTGTGCAGGGCAGGGGTATCCGGCGCTGGCCCAGGGAATCCGCCCGTTGGGGCGCGGGGGGGGGGGTTACAAGGAAGAGGGGGGTACGAAGTCTGTTGCATGCAGCCAGTTGTCGCCCCGCCGTCGGTCACGTTCCCCGACACGGTGCGCTGGTCGTCTCCAGCGCCTCCGGGCGACGGAAAACCAGCTGCTCCCAACTGATTTGCTACCACCCTCCTGTGCTGCCCCCCCCCTGTCGGCCGTCTCGATGCTCGCGCCGCCCTTCGCTCCCGACGGCTGGTGCTCTCCGCCAGCCGATTTTCTGACGCTCCCCTGTGCCCCCATGGCCTCATGGGCATGCGGGTTTCTTTGGGGTATGTATCGGATGTGGTTCTCCTCGCTCTCCCCTGTCTTCCTCGCTCGCCGCTCCTCTCCTCTCCTCGCCCCTGTTCGCCCCTGCCTTCCTCCCCCCGAGCCTGAAGCCCCGAGCCTCGTCATCCGTCGCCGCGTCGTTGTCTTTCGGAGGCCCCCTCTCGCGAGAGCCCCCGAGGCTGGTGCTCTCCGCGCCGTTTACCAGCATCCCGCACGTGGCGGTGCACCTGCTGCAGCGCGCGGCGGGCTTCGTGTGGCAGAGGGCGGCGCCGCCCCGGCTGCAGGAGCCTCGTGGCAGTGGGACTCGGTATCGTTCAGCCGATCCCTAATCCCCATCCCCATGCCCATCCCGATCCCCACCATCCACCCGCCCCAGTTGCCCCTCGCAACCCGAAAGGGACCGCCTATGTCCCCATCCAGGGTGGCAAACTGGCCAGTGGGGCCCAGGCCACGCCAGTGGGGATAGGGATCGGTGAAGCGATTCTCAGGGTCCTGTCGGAGGATCGAGCCGCATCGCCGACGCATCGACGATGCGGCTCGATGTGGAGCCAGAATTTTTCCGCGCCAATGTCGCCGATGTATCGCCGACGTAGCCGATACATGGCGATGCGGCGCGACTCTCCGACCCCATCTAGCCGGACCCCATCGAGGAGGTTTTTTATTGACTTTCGTCGACTTGCGATGTTCCCAGGTGTTCCCTAGACTTCGGCTTCACGGGACTCGCTTCGGGCCCTGCGACGTCAGAAATCGATCCAGGGTGACAATTTGTCAGGTGAAGGCTTGAGCGGATTGCTGAGGGGTCCGATGAGGAACGTTAAGCAGCGTCGCCAGAGGCGGCGCTGTTGAGAACGCCCTTGGCTACCCCGGTCCCCCTCTAATGGAAGCTACCAGGCGCAACCAAAAGGAGGAGATGCGACTGTAAGACGAGAGAAGAGGAAGCGACAAGGGATTGAGGAGACGCGAAACGGGAGGAGGAAGGGAGGAATCACGAGGAGTAATGAGGGTGGGATGAGCGGAGGAGCAACACGTGCTACGTCAACATTGATGGTGCAATGCGCAATGAAACATTTGCTCTTATATGAGTCGGGGCCATTCTGGGAGCTCTTCGGATGATGATCTCTGGAGGCAATATTTTGCTGTCTTGGGGCACGTTGGCTGAGCCGTTGTGAATCGACCGCGTACGCGCTCTTACATCGCAGTATATGTGTAATAATCACATGTTGCGGAGGGAAGGCGTAACGTGGGTGACGCATTCACCATTGTTGCGTTGTTGTTTCGCACCAGGTTGCTAGGGACAGTAGCGACGTCGTCGGTGACGATATTTAATTCATTGTCGAAGGATTTGTTGCAGCAGGCTTCTCTGAGTTGTTCCGTGGCGGGAACGCACCGACCCAGAGGCGTCGGGCGCATCATTTTGGCGACCTGTGCGTGCACAGGCACATCCTCTGCCGCAGTGCGCCTGTATCTTCGACTGGCCCTGGCAAACGCTGGAGAGCGCCTTGTGCCTCCGATTGCGGCTGCCTTGACCAACCCGACCTTCCCTCAAGGTGCGTCTGCATGGGACGAGGAGGGCGCATCCATGCGGGATTGCATCCGGAACTTGGGCGGTGGGAGGGTGCAGGCTCAGCACGTCGGAAGGGGCTAGGACGAGGATGACTCCGTTCTAGAGCTTCCCGTTCTCTTGTGCGCGCCGCCAAGCAGGAGGCCCTGCTCGGCGACCGCCCGCACGGACCTCTCCAGGCGGCTGGGGCGGCCGCCCGCGGGCTTCTGGTCGCGGGGCTTGCCGCGGTCACGCCCCACCGCTGGGGCAACGTCGCGCCCGTGCGTGCGGCCGCCCGCGCGGGCTGGCAGGTTCCTCCGCCTCCTCCTCCTCCTCGTCCTCCCCCTCCTCCTCCTCCTCCTCCTCCTCCTCCTCCTCCTCCGCCTCCTCCTCCTCCCCCTCCTCCGTAGCCATTTGGGCTCAAGCCATCGCTGGCAGCAAACATTGCAGCCTCGCGTTCTCGCAGCTCCCATGGTTTCCAGCGGCGGAGCTGGTGCAAGTGGCGGACCTGCTGCTGCTGTTGGACCGCAACTTGTTCCTCTTTATCCGCGAGCTCAAGCTGGCTTGCTCCAATAATCGGACGCTTTCGCTACCTTTTCTGAATCGTAAGTCCTTGCTGCAGGCGAAGGTGGCGCATCGTGTGGCATCTCTGCTGTCACGGAAGGCACTGCTACACCCCCTGCTCATCCTGCAGCTCATCCTACCGACCTTGCTGGGATTGAGCAGAGGCTGGCGGCGTTGGGTAAGTTTCAAATCGCGGCGGCGACGGCTCAACTCTCTGCGACAGTTAGCCAGCTCACCCAAACGCCAAAAGCTTTCAATGCCCAGGTGTCGGAGCTCCTCTCGTCCAGGAGACAAAATGCTGAACACTTGGAGGTGCACGACATAAGTATCCACGACCTTCAACCCCGAGCTGAGCGAGCCGAAGCCGATCAACAGCGAATGCGGCAACAGTTGCAAGCCATGGGGCGCACTCTGGCATTGGCAGAGGCCATCGTTCCCTTCGGCATCCAGAAGTTGCGGAATGGGAAACGGCCCCAGATCCTACATTGTTCAGTATCATAGCCCCGCGTGCCATCGCCCCCCCCCAGGCGGTTACAGCAGCGCTTGCATAATGGATCAGTGTTTCGGGCGTGCCCGCTGATCAGCTTAAGCTTCATGGTGACGTGCAACGGCGACGTTTTCATCTTCGAGTCCTGGGAGGAGCCGCTGCTCCAGCCCGCGTTATGGCCCTCTCCCGCGCGCTCAGAACACCAGCTGGCTTCATAACATTTCACGCAGTGGGCACGGCTGGGACCAACTCCCCCATGTACGTAAATGTCGGCAAGAGCCCAAACCAAGTGCGAACGGAGTTGCAAACGAACGACTATGCGCATCATTCCAGATGCGTGCTCCAACCACGACACCGACGCACATAATCCGATGGGCATCATCACCATCGATGCGGCCCCCAATGTGGTTATTGAGGTTCGTGGTGTTGATGAACCCTCCAAGTTGCTGTGGGATAGCCCGTTCATTGCGAGCTTCAACATTGACAAATCGCCACGGGTGCCTGCTTTTGGACAGGCTTACTCATGCGTGGATGCACCTGCATGGTTTATTTAGCAGGAGATGGTGTCTATTGACGACGGACAGCACACATATTAATGGAAGTGGGATTTGTTGGAACGTTCGCAGTTTGTCGTGCTACCAACCTCATAGACGGACAGCCAAACTCAATGAGTGGGCTATGTGCATGCGTGACGGGCAGCCAGTACATTTCAAGAGTGCCGAGGTACTGGTCCACGTGCGAACGGCTTTTTCGCCCTATCTTTCTTCCCACAGGGTCCTCTTCGACCTTCTGTCACAGAAAAGCTGGGGGCACGGAATGTTTGATTCCAGTGGACCCGCGCGGGCAAGATTACCCTCTGGCGCAATTCCGGCATGAGGTTCTCTGTCCCCATCTTGCGGATGACTTCGCGATTCAGCTGGTCAGCGTTCACCGCTTCAAGGTCGCCGCTGCCAGTCGAGCAAAGATCCAAACGAAATGGCGTGAGTTGAAAAGCTGGAGTATGCAGGATCCAGCCCGAAGATCCCGCGGTGCAACGGGTGACCTCCATATCAAGGCTGGGACAACACGTAACAACGTCCATCCATCCAGGAATATTGCGTTTTCCATTTCGCGCCTGAGGTGCGCGGGCAACCACTTCGGCGTTACTGGGAGCGGTTATCCGCCATGGTCACGGAGTTCTCTGCGGGTTGTCTTTCGCGTTTCTGCCATGGCACGGCGACGGCGGCTATTTCCGATCGAGTATCTCGGTGCTCCTGCCCGCTACCTCCCGGACATCGATGTGCCAGTGGAGGTGGGCGTCGATGCCGACGACGCCTCGGGTGCCAGGCTGAGCGGCTACACAACCGTCGCAATTCGCCGTCGAGACCGCGCGCGACAAGAACGAAGTACGAGCGTTCCAGAGCGGGGCGTTCGTGACCCACGTTATCCCGTTTTGCTTCAGCAGCTTCTGGATGTGGCTAAGCTGGATCGCTCTCCAATGACTTATCAGTGGCGTTGCGTGAAAGATCAGGTGATCGAAGCTGACCAACATGTACGAGACGAGCAACAGCGACTCCCGGTTTCAGATCGAGACCCCTGTGCAACAGGCGGTCGAATCACCGCGCCGCGCTCCGTCTTCCGCTGCGCCAGGCGCAACGACGTCCTCATGGCTCAGAAGATGCGCGCTACCACGGAGGCTGGGGCACGCTCCCTGACTGTCGCGGACGGAGTGGTCCAGCTGCGGGATGGGGCCAGTTTCGCCGCAATCGTGAACACCTTGAACTACGACTTAAGCCAGCGGGAGGCATTGCATAAGTAGCTCGGGATGCCGCCGAACAGCCTCAGCCTTGTAGATGTGAATTTCCTGCCATCTTTCCGAATTGTCGATCCAGCCTGTGTCTCCTTGCTTGGCTGGGCAGGTAGTTGGCGCGCATCCTTCTGGGCGGTGAATCTTGTTTGGCAGCGCGCAGGGCAAAACCTCAGGGAGCATGCGCCGGATAATGCCACCTTCGTTCGCCTCTGCGCTAGCAAATACTCGCCCGCATGCTGGCAAAAAAGGCCATGCTCCATTGCGCAGCGTTTGGAGCGCTCGCTCGCCCTCGCCGCGTCTTGCCAACGTGCAGGGCTGGCGTGGCGCTTTCCATGCCGCGCGTGCCCATACTTATGAGGCTGTGGAAGTAGGCTGCAAGCCACATCCTCAACGCATCTTTCCCCGTGCGCTCCGCTCCCTCGCACATGCGATGCGGAAACGTCTTGAGGCCTGGCAGATCCTGAGTCCTGGAGGGGGGCGGTCGGTGGACGGGCGGTGGGGGCACTGTAAGACGTGCCTGGCGCGCGTGAAACCAGCCTAGCAATGCAGCTCTCTCAAGACTCTCTGCGGTGCGTGGACAACCGCGCACCGCATGCATGTAGGCTTTCCCTCACCACTTGCATATTGGGTTGCCCTGCCCCTGGCGAGACTGCACACTACCCTCGCTGCCCGCGCCTCTTACATCACTTTGCCATGCATCACGCATGGAGGAGGAGGAGGAAGGGGAGGGAGTAGGAGGGAGTAGTATTAGGAGTAGTAGTAGTAGTAGTAGTAGTAGTAGTAGTAGTAGTAGTAGTAGTAGTAGTAGTAGTAGTAGTAGTAGTAGTAGTAGTAGTAGTAGTAGTAGTAGTAGTAGTAGTAGTAGTAGTAGTAGTAGTAGTAGTAGTAGTAGTAGTAGTAGTAGTAGTAGTAGTAGTAGTAGTAGTAGTAGTAGTAGTAGTAGTAGTAGTAGTAGTAGTAGTAGTAGTAGTAGTAGTAGTAGTAGTAGTAGTAGTAGTAGTAGTAGTAGTAGTAGTAGTAGTAGTAGTAGTAGTAGTAGTAGTAGTAGTAGTAGTAGTCAGTAGTAGTAGTAGTAGTAGTAGTAGTAGTAGTAGTCGGAGGAGGAGGAGGAGGAGGAGGAGGAGGAGAGGAGGAGGAGGAGGAGGAGGAGGAGGAGGAAGAGGAGGAGGAGGTGGGAGGCGGAGGGAGGAGGAGGAAAAGGAGGAGAAGGAGGAAAAGGAGGAGAAGGAGGAGGAGTTTAATGAGGAGGCGAAAAAGGTGAAGGAGGATTCGGAGGCGGAGGAGGAGGGGAAAGAGGAGGAGAAGGAGGAGGAGGGGAAAGAGGAGGAGAAGGAGGAGGAGGAAGAGGCGGAGGAGGAGGAGGAGGGGCAGGAGTGTAACGATGAGGAGGAGGAGGAGGAGGAGGAGGAGGAGGAGGAGGAGGAGGAGGAGGAGAAAAATGAAGAGGAGGAGGAAGAGGAGGAGGACGAAAAGGATGAGGAACGCGGGGCGCCGTCCCTCCAAAAGGAGAACCCATCACCACAGGATGGTTGGGGAAAAAAACATGATCGTCTTCGCCGACATTGGCGCGTAAGATGCCCGCGTAAGGCCGCGCGTGAGCGTCCCTATCTTCAATGCAGCGTGCCGCGCCGGCGGCCCGCTTAAGCCCCGCTGAAAGGTCGCGCTGCCTTCTCGCGTGAGACTAATATCCTTGCGCCGCTCATGTGGACATCGTCCATAGCCAGAAGGGGCCGGCCACCCGCAGGGGAGGGTGGGGGAGGGGGGAAGGCTTCTTAAAAGGGATCTGCTTCTTAGAAGGCGCGGGCCTTGTCGAGAGATCAAAGGCCCTCGCCTTCTGAGAAGCAGCCTCCTTCCAAGAAGCCTTTGCCCCTCCCCCCCTGCGTCTACGCGTTCCGAAAACTCCGAGAAGGCCGCGGCGCCCGAAACACCCTCTAGAGCCGCCGGCTCTCAGAGATTCTCGATGCACTTCAACGCGATTTTGCCTTTGTCCTGGCTTTCGTGTCGCTCAGGTGGGCATCATCCACGGCGAGAAGGACCTGCTGGTGCCGGCCGGCATGGGCCGCGAGCTTCACGACGCGGCGAGCGCGGCCGCCCTCGACGCTGCCCCCCGTGGGCGGCTCGGCGGCCCCGCGCGGCTCGTGCTGCTCAATGGGAGGTCTTGCACCGCTGGCGGAGTCGTTCGTCGTAGAAGGGGAGGGTACCCATAACGCTACCTTCCCTCGTTTTCCCCTCTTTGGGCCTCCTGGGAGGGCCCTCGTCGCCACCGCTGGATTCGCTTCGAAATTCTGGTCAGCACGCACCCCAGGAGAGGTACACGGAGCAGCGGTGTGGGTACATTTTGGTGGTTCCCCCAGTTCGGGGGGGGTCGGAGGGCCAGATCGTAACCACGGAAGTTTCCGTTCGTTTTGAGTTGAACGTATATCGGCCAATAGCGCCCAATAGCGCTCAGTAGGGCTCAAAAGTGCCAAATGGCGCCGAATAGCGTTCAATAGCGTACAATAGCGCTCAAATAGCGCCGACAAGCGACCAATAGCGCCCAATTACACCATGTGGGGGAGATGTATCATGTCCGCTTTGTGCGCTATTGGGCGCGCTATTGGGGCCCATGGGGACGACCAAATGCTTCCGTGAGTTGCTTTCTGAGGGGGAGTTTCTCTCCAGGCCTCCCAAATGGGGTCCGAGTAGACGGGGTCGAAGGATCGTTCCGTGTCGCCGATGCATCGACGATGCGGCCCGCCATAGAGCCATAACTTCACCACGATGGCACCGACGCAACGCTGACGTCGCCGATGCATCGCTGATGTGTCGCCGGTGTGTCCCCGATGCATCGCGTATGCACTGGCGATGCGGCGCGATCCTCCGACCCCACCTACTCGGATCCCATCCACTCGGCTCCCATCTGGGAGGTCTTGCGTCGCTGGCGGAGTTCGCCATGAAGGAAACGGGCCCTGAAGGAGACATGTCCTGAGGTTTTATTGCATTCTTGGCTTTCCGGGAAGCGACTCAGGACAAATAAGAAATCCCAGGTGAATACCCCGGGGTCCAGGATCCGGGTTCGTTCGGTAGCAGCTCATGGGAGCCTTGCGTGTCCTCGAGATTCCGTCTTTAGTTAGAATGCATTGGCGTGCGCTCGCGTTTGCTAATCGATGAGGAAGCACCAGCTCAGCGTCGATTCGCACCGATGCGCAAGAGCCAGCAAGACGACATGGGAGGCTCCCACGAGTTGCTTTAGACCGCTGTTCTCTTTGGGCGGGGGGGTCGGGGGGGCTTCTCGGAGGAATGTCGGCCAAGACTGCTGCGGCCCTCCCTGGCGTTTTCCGTTCTCTTTCGGAGCCTCTTGCAGGCTTCTCGTCGCCGCCGCTGGATCCGCCGTGCAAAGCGGGTCAGGCGGGATGGACCCTGGGAGTGATTCGGGGACCGACTGCGAGCGGCGCGCACAAAAGGGTGGCGCGAGGGCGGTCTTCTGAGCAGCCTGGAGGGCGTCTCGGCAGGCAGAGGAAGAAGATTGTTTGGAGGCCACCCCGGCTTCCCAGAAGCCTTTTTAGAAGCCTTCGGGGCCCACTCCGAGATGGCCCCCTGCCTTCTCACCTGCCTTCCTGCTCGCGCCGCACCCTCTGTGTGCGCCGCCCACTTGCGCGGGGTCGGAGAGCTTCTGCCGCTGGCTGGACGCCCTGGCGGGGAGGCCTGCGCCGGTGGAGTGCCCTCCTGGGTGGACCGCCGAGGCCTCGGCCCGTGGACGGCCCCGGGACGCTCTGAGCCCTCGGGTCGTGGGAGGTTCTTCCGTCCGTTCGGCATCCTCTGTAAGAACGGTTTTTTGAAGGCAGGTCTGCCTTCAAAAGAACGGTTTTTTGAAGGCAGATCTGCCTTCAAAAAATTCTACCTGCAAGGAGGAAAGACTGGTCTACTCTGTAAGAACGGTTTTTTGAAGGCAGATCTGCCTTCAAAAAACCGTTCTTACAGAGTAGACCGGGCCTTCGCCGGGGCCCGGGACCGTCAAAATAGGGCTCAGGATCAGAAGGCGGGTCGACACCTTCCGGGTGTCGACGTCGGGGAAAAGTGTCATGACGCCGGGGGTATGGAGGGGGCGGGGGCGTGCTCGCCACAGGAGGGAATGGGTCCAGGCTGGGCAAACGGGCCTTGGCGCCTCTTTCGGCCGCGCTCGGGCTCCTATGCCCCCCTCCCCTGGGGCCCAGGGGACCGTTCCAGAACGACGCAGGTTAAACAAGTGGCCCCTCGGGATCTGCGGCGAGCCTGGGGGGGAAGTGAGAGGGGACAGGCCTTCTCAGAAGGTGGCGGGGCTTTTCAGAGGCCACTCGCGCCTTCGGAGAGGTTCTCTGCGTCTTCGGAGAAAGCCTAGGAGGCTTCTCAGAAGGCGCCAGGGCCTCTGAGAAGCCCTGCAGCCTTCTGAGAAGGCCTGTCCCCTCTAACTTCCCCTGTGGGCTCGCCGCCAATACTCAGGAGGATTGGGTAGCGAGTCATGGATGGCTTGCATGTCCTCGAATTTCCAGGTTTCGAGTGCACCAGCGCGCGCTAGCGCTAGGTTATCGATGAGAAAAGTAGTTTTGGCGTCGACTCGCGTCGATGCGCAAGGGTCAGCAAGATGGTATGGGATGCCCCCGTGAGTTGCCACAGAAGGACGAGTGCTGGCCCCTCGGGAGAGCGCTGGGGCCTTTTGGGGCCCGCCTCCTCCGCGCCAGCCTCAGCCGCCCTCCTCCTGGGTGGAGACCAGTCGAGGCCTCGGCCTGGCCTCGGCCTGGCCTCGGCCTGGCCTCGGCCTGGCCTCGGCCCAGTGGCAGGCCACAGGGCGCCCCTAGAATAGGGAATCGACTACAGAATCGCTTTGCCCAGATTTGATGTTCTCGTCGAATCCGTAAAACATGCGTGGGCTGTCGTAGGTCTGCGGACAGTCTACGTATTTGTCGTTAGATTTCGGCGAGAAAAGCAAGTTTGAGGTACATCAATTCTGAAGTCGATCCCCTACTGGAGCTTTGAGCGCTCAGAGGATCTGGCGTTGAAGCACTGGGGCCTTCCAGGCGCCGCCGTGGCGCCTCCTTGGGCCGCTCCCTCATGCGCCTTCGAGGCGCCTCCTGGGCGCCTCCTACAGGCGCCTCACAGGCGCCTCCTGCAGGCGTCTCCCTGGCGCCTCATGGGCGCCTTTAGGGGCGCCTTCTAGGCGCCTCCTGCAGGCGCAGGCGCCTCCTAGGCGCAGGCGCCTTATCGCCTTGTTGGCGCCTGATAGGCGCCGAGGGGACTTCGAGCCATCGACCAGCGTGGCCGAGACCGTTCAGGGGCTCTCGTCCTTCAAAACATTGTTTACGTGTCTGCGCGACTGCTCCGACACACCCCGAAGGGTTTCATGCTCCGAGGGCGCTCTGGCGTTCCCGCCCGCCCGCCTGCCTGTTCCCGAGTGCGTGCTTGGCTTCCGACGCGTCCCGTCCTTAGCCGATCGCTTGCTGGAGCCAGCTCGCCGCAGACCAAAAAGTCTTTGCGGCTGCGCTTCGGGCGGCAGTGAGCCGCTGTGCGGGAGGTCGGCGCCGATTTGATCTGAGGCATTCGGCGAGGAATGGTCGGGCGGGGCTGGGATAAGGATAATCCGTTCCACAGTGTTCCGGAACGCTTTCAGAACGTGACTGAGCGCTTTGGGAAGGCCGCGGCGCTCGAAGCATCCTCCAGAGCCGCCAGATTTCCCCGATTCTCGATTTACCTTCACCCGGATTTATGCTCGTCCTGGCTTCTTCTCAAGGACAGAACGGCTGCAGCTCGTCGTCTGCTTGCCCCTCCCCCCCCCCCCCCCGGCAGGTCCCCCGCAGCGGCGGAGGCTTCGGCGGCGAGTCCGCTCTGTGGCTTCGTGGAGGTGCCCGGAGCGCACCACGGCAACTCGCTGCTGCTCGGCGCCGCCAGTTGTGCAGAGCTCATGGGCCTCGTGTGAGGTGGCAGGATCGGTCGTTCAAAGATGGGGTCCCGAGGGGTGGGGGCCTCAGGATCGGACGGGATCCAAGGGTGAATTTACATTGTTTGCGGCACCTCGTCCTTAGGACCCCATCCCTCAGGATCCCAGCTTTGAACCACCGGCAGGAGGCGCGCTGGTTGATCCAGGTCCTTCTACGAAGCTGCAGTCATTTAGATTTTCCCAGGCCTCATATACAGCTGCCTGCGGCAAGCCCCGCCACCGTGTCAGCGCAGCGGCGCAGCAGGCCCGCTCCAGTTCAGTGCCCTGTCTGAGCTGGCAAGGGTCTGAACACCATCTGCTTGTCCGCAACTTCGTTCCCCTGCTCCTCCTCCTTCTCCTCCTGCTCCTCCTCCTCCTCCTCCTCCTCCTCCACGCCCCTCACCCCTCCTCCCTCCTGCCCCTGCCGTAGCCATCTTGGTTCAAGGCTAAACGTGTGAAGGTAAAGTGACATACCGAAACACGATTAGCTATGGCTGCATCCGTGGGCATTTGCCAAGCTACTTGTGGCAACCACGTCCAGGCTGTGCGCTGGACCGTAGCTCAGTGATTTTTCACCCACTCCACTGGGGGCAACGTTCCAGTCTTGCAGTCATCATGGCTTGGCGCTCCCGCGCCCCGTGGTTGCAGCAGGGCAAGCAGCAGAGCGGCAAGAAGTGGCGGTGGCGACGTCACCGCACTGAGGTGCAACGCCGCGGAAACTACTCGGTGTGCGCCACCTGCGGCCACTGGGGGTACGATCGCTTCGGCAATCGGGCGTGCAGCGTGTGCGGCGGCAGCTATCTTGATGGTAGTGCTCATCATGCTCCTGCCGCAGCTGCCGCACCTCCACCGCCGATCTGCAGCCCCTGGCAGCAAACACCCTGACATGGCGGGCGCCCTCGAACAGCTTCGAGGAGCCGCACCGCCTTCACCCATTCCTGAGGTTCGTCAGCCCGCGTCGGATAACGACCTGAAGAAGAATATCCAAAGTAAGCGCACCGAGCTCTCGCGGGATGTTGAACAAGCGAGCCGTACAGAATGAGTGGCACAATCTAATGTGCAGCGTTGTCATGAGTCGGTGGTCCGGCATCGCGAGGCGCTCGCCAAGGCCGAGCAGAAACACGCCGAAACTCAGCAGTGGCACGCTGAGACGGAGGCGGCCTTGCGAGCGGCCCCAACCTGGCGAAAGACGGCCTCGACGAGAGCTGGTACCGAACTGAGCTCCGTACCAAGGAGCGTGCTGAGGCTGAGGAGGCGGCGGCTGCAGCGGCCGCGGGCGCCGCGCGGGGCCAGGCTCCGCCTGCGGCGGCGGCCCCAGCGGCCGCGGCGGCAGCGCCAGGCGGCAGCGGTCATGCAGGTGCCCCAGGAGGCCCACCTGCAGCTCCAGTGCCTGTTCTCTCCCTGTTCTGGTGGACGACGTGTCGGAGGCGGCCAGCGAGGCTGGCGACGTGGCTGTCGGTATTCCTGGCGATGAGCCTGGTGAATGTCGTGCGTTGCGCAAGCGGGCAGCCGAGACGGGCCTGGATCCCGTGGCAGCGGAGCGGTACGGAGTACTGCTGTCCAAAGCCTTGGTGGCCAGGGCCAGCAAGCGCGCCGAGCGAGAGCTGCGGCAGCGCTCGGGCGCAGCCTCTTTGCGAAGCGGCGGCCTCCCGGCTCCAGTTTGGTCCTCGGCAGGGCCGGCCAGCTGCGGGGGGTGGAACCCCACTGTGCCCACCGTAGCTCAGTCATGCCCTCGGCCCAGGAGGAGGCGTGACAAAGATGATGGGTTCGTGATTCGGTTCTGCAGCGTGACGAGCTGGTCCGATCTCACCGAGGGTTTTCTCTCATCCAGGGTCTCGGAGATGGACGCCACGTGAATCGCCGAGCAGCACCTTCGTCCAGAAGGTATCATCAAGGCCAAGAAGGGCTCCCGTGTCATGGGCTGGAGCCCATTTTTCCAGCCAGCTGTTCCCTCTTCAAGAGATTGTGCTCACGGGGGTGTGGCGGCTGTTTGTCAGAAGAGCTTGTGTTGCAAACGTCTTTTGTCTGGGATCATTGGAGTGGTGAACACGGGCTCAGGGACGTCTTCTGTTTTGTTTGTCAAAAGGGATTCACGCTTCGTGGGCTTTCTGTGGTCATGGGGTCTTTCACCTGATGTGTTCCACTTGGGCGGCGGCTGGAATCCGATTCGGCCGAAGCGGACTGCCGAGTGCATCCATACCGCGAGTGTTCCTTGGGTCCTACGTGGTGGCTAAAATCTTTCCCCCGGCTAGTTTTCCGAGGCTTGTTTCCTGGAGCTTGCCAAGTTCCGTGCGAATGTTCCCCGTGATGTCGAGAATACTTGTGATGGGGGTACAACCATGATTGATTATGTGGTCTGTTCGCATGCGATTGCCCCCTGCGTGTCTGTCTCTACGGCGGCTACATCGCCTCTGAAGACTCACGCCTGCCTGCGCGTTGAGCTTTCTGGCGAGGCTCATACGGAGGAGGTGGCCCATGGTCTCCGTGCTGGTGCTGTTCCGCGTGCGCGCGGGCCTGATTATCTCTGGCCTTACTATCTCCACTTCGCCTGGGGGCATGGTTCTGACTGGCAGCCTCCACCTGACGTTGCGGAAGCCACGCTCCAGCATGCCTTGGACTCTGTTCGGACCGGCTTTCGGAAGATTGCGCCTTGCGGTCTGGGGTTGCCGAAATGGCGCTGGCGCCCCGGGCTCGCGCCACCCCGGGGGGCCCCGCGCGAGCCCCGGGGCGCGGGGGTCCCCTCCAGAGGTCTACTGGGCCCTTGCGTCGGCGGGGTCGCAACTTGCAGGCCATCAAGGTTCCCTACTTGTACTTTTGGTTCATGACCTACTCCCGTCTGTTCGGGCGCTGAAATGCAGTGCGCGTTAAGGCTGCCCTTGCGCAGGCTAGGTCGCAGGCGGCATTCGCCAGGGACCAGGCGTGCCAAGTTTGTCCCGAGCCGTTGCGCGCCGCCGTGGGTGCTTGCGCGCGGGCTGCTTCGCTAAACAACTGACGTTTCTTCTGGCCCTGCATCCGCGCGACGCCTGGTGGAAATTTTCGCCCGAGGTGCGCGAGCTTGCGGGCAAGAAGTGCCGGGCCTTCATCGGCGCTGGTATACGTGAGTGATTGCAGGGGGCTTAGCCAGCTAGAGCGAGGAAGGTTCGCAACTGGTTGAAGAGCGGCGCCAAGGTGTCGGTCGGGCGCTTCCGCGCTTCTGGTTTAAGTGGTGTTCCCCTACACAGAAGCACCTGGAGGTCCTGAATGATGACTTCGCAGAGCTGAGAGCGGCGGCGCAGCCCGCCCTCCTGGATCTCCCTGCCTTCAAGTCCAGGGGCGTCCTCCAGGCGGCTACGTGTTTCACTGGCGGCACTGCTGCTGGAGTCGACCAAGGGGCCCCTCGTGATTTTCTTTTCGGCTGCCCTCTCAGGCGGGGCGCTGTCTTGTGGCGGTCTTCGCGGCGCGCGGGCAGGCCATAGCCTTCCCTCGGCAGTGACATTTGAATGTTATGGCCCTGCTCCCGCAGTCTGAGACCGAAGGGCGAGCGAGCTCGGAATGTTCGACTCTGGCATAATATGTATATATAGATATACGGATGTATATCTATACATATATATTTATAGATATATCAATATCAAGGTGAGGGGGCTAAACCGAGCGGTCATTCACTGTCCCTGGGTGCGTGACTGAAGTGGAATTCTGCGATGTTTGTTGTTTGTTGTTTGTTGGTGTCGTCGTCCCACCCGCGACCCGCCCCGCGACCCACCCGCGACCCATCCTGCGACCCACCCGCGACCCACCCGCGACCCACCCCGCGACCCAACCGCGACCCACCCCGCGACCCGCCCGCGACCCACCCGCGACCCACCCGCGACCCACCCCGCGGCCCGCCCGCGACCCACCCTGAGATCCTTGTGGCGACCCACCCGCGACCCACCGGCGACCCACCCGCGACCCGCCCGCGACCCACCCCGCGACCCGCCCGCGACCCACCCGCGACCTCCCCGCGACCCTCCCCGCGACCCACCCGCGACCCGCCCGCGACCCACCCCGCGATCCACCCAAAATTTTCGGCGCCTGCGGCGGGTTTCTTTTGCATTCGTTCCAGGTGAAGAACCTGCGACCCACCCGCGACCCAAACTGCGTTCAGTGTACAAATCAAAATGTTCGGCGCCTGCGGCGGGCTGTTTTTGAATTCTTCCCAGGTGGAGGTGGAGAGCCCGCGACCCACCCGCGACCCAAACTACGTTTACTGAACAAACCAAAGCTTCGGCGCCTGCGGCGGGTTTCTTTTGCATTCGTTCCAGGTGGAGAACCTGCGACCCAAACCGCGTTCAGTGTGCAAGTCAAAATTTTCGGCGCCCTGCGGCGGGCTGTCTTTAAATTCCTTCCAGGTGGAGATGGAGAGCCCGCGACCAACCCACGACCCAAACTACGTTCATTGAACAAGCCAAAAATTCGGCGCCTGCGGCGGGCTGTTTTTGCATTCCTTCCGGGGGCCCCACCAGCGATCCCACCCGCGACACATGCTCGACCCACCCCGCGGCCCACCCCGCGACCCGCCCGCGACCCACCCCGCGACCCACCCGTGACCCACCCGCGACCCATACGCGACCCACCCGCGACCCATCCGCGACCCCGCCCGCGGCCCACCCGCGACCCACCCGCGCGACCAACCCGCGACCCTCCCCGCGACCCACCCACATTGCTTTAACGAGGAAATCGGCGCCTGTGGCGGGCTCACTGCATAATTTGTAGAAAGGTTAGGCGCCTGCGGTGGGCTTCTTCAGAGCCTCGCAGACTGACGACGTCCTCGCCGCCCCCTCGCTCTTATCCGCAACTGCGGGGTGTTACGGTATACATGTATGTATACATATATATATATATATATATATACGTATATATATATATATATATATATATATATATATATATAGGTATATGCTCATGCGCGGTGATCGCATGCATGAATGGAGTGCGGAGTGCACGGACTTCTGGAATAGCGTGGCGCGTGAGTCCTCTGCCTGGCAAGTTGCACTTTTGCGCGAGCTGTGTCGCGAGTTGGCGGGGGTGCTCGACTTTGAGTCGGCCTCCCTCCACTGGGATATGGACGTTTTGTTCGACTCGGTAATCACGCGTCCGTTGATGCAGTTGGCTCTGAAGGTTCGCTATCCCGCGCGCCTGCTGCATTTCGCAATCGTCGCGCACGCGAGTCCTAGCGTGCTTGAGGTGGAAGGGGAGATTTTGT